TTGGAACAGGCTCAAACAGCTTGTAATGGACAAGGTTGGCCACTGAACCTTCCTAGCGTTCGGGTTCTTCCAGGGCGTTGTTAACACCACGGTTTGTGTAACAGGGTTATATACCTGGCAGTATCATGTATCCACAGCAGTGACCACAGGAGGAATGACCGCTGGGAGGAGCGCCGAGGGAAGAAATGCCTTGGTGCATCTGCAGAAGCACAGCCTGACGCCTTTATCTGCCCCGGCTGCAACAAAACATGTCTCTCCCATATCAGTCTTTGCAGTCACAGCAGGTGCTGTAACTCTTCAACTGTTTGACCTCACCCCGAAGGCACACTCTTCCATTGTCTCCCGAGACAGACAGGTGTCAACCAGTATACAGGCCTGCAGTTTTTTCTCCTATTCCAAGGGAAGGTAGGGAATGAAACTGGAGGCTGAGTTCTGCCTAAGGGGAAAGACTAAAGTTAGTTCATTGTGTCTGGGAGGGGGCACTTTAAAAATAATAATAGCAGATTTGAATTGCTCACACCCAAACACTGCCCAGGACAGTGATACCTCAGGTTAAGAACTTAATTTGTTCTGGAGGTCTGTTCTTAACCTGAAACTATTCTTAACCTGAGGTACCACTTTAGCTAATGGGGCCTCCCACTGCCGCCCCACTGCTGCCATGCTGCCGCCGCACAATTTCTGTTCTTATCCTAAAGCAAAGTTCTTAACCCGAGGTATTATTTCTGGGTTAGCAGAGTCTGCAACCTGAAGCGTCAGTAACCTGAAGTACCACTGTACTTGCCAACACTGACTGGCAGCTGCTCTGCAAGGCTTCAGGGCCTGTCGTTGCCTTTTCTGGAGACACCCAGGATCGAACCTGGAACTTTCTCCATGAAAAGCTCTGGAAAGGCAGCGAAGAAAGCCTGCTGGAGCCCCTGCTTCAAGGCTCCACCCTCAGCATCTTACACGGGCTCTGCAGCAGCCTTCTCCAAGCTGGTGCCCTCCTGGTGCAACTGGATAACAATTCCCCAGCCCCTCAGGGTTCAGCGCTGGGTCTCAACCTGGCCAGCTTTGTCAAGGGATATTCTCTGTTCTTATCCATAGTTGAAATTGCCATGCGTGGTCTCCCCCGAGTCTCTCCAAGGGACTGCCAGGGGAACTGCTCCCCAGTGATTTCCCCAGCTACTCTCAGCAGTAACAGTTTTGTCTCAAGGCTATGATTCATTGTTAAAGCCAAGCCTGCCGTTTAAAAGCCACCCAAGGAGCAATTAAGGAGCATTTCTATAGGCACATCAAAAACTTTTTTCCTTTCTTTCTTTGCAAAAATAAATAAATGCAGTGTTAGTGAACAGCTTTGAAATTGACAATATCAAATGAGGGAAGTGGTATGATGATGGATCCATCATTAAAAATAAATCACTATAGGCAAATCTTACAATAGACGGAATAGCCCCCTCAAAAGCGACTGTTTGAGTTAAGTAGAAGGAATAGCCCCGGGACAAGATCTCTGGAATTCTGAAATATGCAGAAGATCTGTCTGCATGGCATGCATAGGATTCCATTGTAGGTTTTTAAAGAGGGAGATTTCCTCTGGGAACATTGGTGCCTGCTTTTGGAATCCTCCGCATCCCTCTTTCTCATCAGTGAATCCACCTGTTTGCTCCGACTCAGGGTATTGTGAATGAACACTGTTTCCCATCCTAACAGAGATCAGGTAAACCTGGAAATGAAGTCCAACTACTGACCGTAGTTCAGGTGTTCAAAGCACTTCCTTTGGGGAATGCAATAGCAGGGCAGGTATTTGGAATGCAAAAGGCCCAGGGTTCAAATCCAGGTTGCACCGAGGAAGACCCCCGCCTGGAGAGCTGCTGCCAGTCAGTGCCAGCAGTAGTGAGCTAGATGGACCAATGGTCTGATCTAGTGTTCGTACGGTTACAACCATCCTTACAACACCTTCAGAAGGTGGGCGAGCATTTATCATGCCCATATCTCAGGTAGCTGCCTTGCTAAAGACTGCCTAATGAAATCACGGCAGACGTGAAATTCCCACTAGGTCCTTCCTGGTTCATAGCTCAGTCTTTTAACCACTGCCCTTCCTCAGCCTTCACGACATTTGCTCAAATGCAGCACTTACTTCCCTTGCCCCTGCATTTCCTTGTTGTTGTTGTTGTTATTTAGCTGTTTAGTCGTGCCCGTCTCTTCGTGACCCCATGGACCAGAGCACGCCAGGCACTCCTGTCTTCCACTGCCTCCCGCAGTTTGGTCAAACTCATGTTGGTATCTTCGAGAACACTGTCTAACCATCTCGTCCTCTGTCGTCCCCTTCTCCTTGTGCCCTCCATCTTTCCCAACATCAGGGTCTTTTCCAGGGAGTCTTCTCTTCTCATGAGGTGGCCAAAGTATTGGAGCCTCAGCTTCAGGATCTGTCCTTCTAGTGAGCCCTCAGGGCTGATTTCCTTCAGAATGGATAGGTTTGATCTTCTTGCAGTCCATGGGACTCTCCAGAGTCTCCTCCAGCACCATAATTCAAAAGCACCCATTCTTTGGCGATCAGCCTGCTTTATGGTCCAGCTCTCACTTCCATACATCATTACTGGGAAAACCATAGCTTTAACTATACGGACCTTTGTTGGTAAGGTGATGTCTCTGCTTTTTAAGAAGCTGTCTAGGTTTGTCATTGCTTTTCTCCCAAGAAGCAGGCGTCTTTTAATTTCATGGCTGCTGTCACCATCTGCAGTGATCATGGAGCCCAAGATAGTAAAATCTCTCACTGCCTCCATTTCTTCCCCTTCTGTTTGCCAGGAGGTGATGGGCCCAGTGGCCATGATCTTTGGTTTTTTGAAGTTGAGCTTCAGACCATATTTTGCGCTCTCCTCTTTCACCCTCATTAAAAGGTTCTTTAATTCCTCCTCACTTTCTGCCATCAAGGTTGTGTCATCTGCATATCTGAGGTTGTTGATATTTCTTCTGGCAATCTTAATTCTGACTTGGGATTCATCCAGTCCAGCCTTTCGCATGATGAATTCGCATTTCCTTATCCAGTGTCAAACTGGAGTCGATCGCAAATTTCTCAGGACAGGGGCTGTTTGTCTGTGTTGCCCTGTGCAGCGACAGGGTTGCGTTACCAATGATAGCAGCAGTGGTTTTAAATTTTATTTCATGTTGCATTCCTCTCTGGTCTCCGCTTGAAGAAGAACAGGGGAGAACGAGTCGGTTGTAAGAAAAAGCCACCTTAGAAAATGTGAAATCATAGAAGCACAGAGTGTGATGTAGTCTGACCCGCTGCAATGCAGGAATAATCAGGGACTGAATTCGCAACCTTTGCATTACCAGCACCATGCTCTAATCAACTGAGCTATCCAGGCTGAGCCCCCACTTACCTGCCTTTTTTTTTTAATTGCAAAGCCGCAAATGGCGTCCCTTTTCCTTCGAAGAGGAGTCTCTCCATTACCTTGATCACCTGGTTTGCCCTTTTTCCTGCCCCTTTCGCAAACCTACAAATCTCCTTTTTGAGCTGGGATGGGCAGAGCCGAACACACTACCCAAATGTGGTCATATACCATAGATTTGAATAGTGGCATGATGAAATTGCCTGCTTTATTATTGGTTGCTTTCCAAAGGAACCCAGCATGGAATTTGTCTTCTTTACACCTTGGATTCTGAGGCTGATGGCAACTCTTAAGATTCTATGATTCTGTGATCTCAGACTTCCTGGCTCCTGGGTGGGTTCTGTGTAATGAATTAATGCTGAGAGCCTCCCATCACCTTCCTGGATGTATACATGTTATCACTGCCCCCCTCCCCATTGTCACTTGCCACGGTGCTATTGCGGCCTCCTCCCCTCTCCCCTCCGGGCATCTTAAATACACGTCTAATTATTGACGATCCTTTTCGCCGCAGACCAACAAGTGCACCAGGGCGCTCTGAGATTTAAATTCCATTTAATGCTCGCTGCGCCCAGCTAATAAAACCATGTCGGGCAAGGGCTTCAATTAGCCGGCGTATCATCTGAGGCTTTCAAGTGGCTTAATGATGGCGGAGGTTGAAGAATGTGACACCCGGCGGCGTCGCTGCTTTCAGCCTCTGCTCGGTGGGTGCTTTGGGATGAAAGGTTAGTCATGTGTACCAGATGCTAAGCAACGTCTTCCATTATTCATGGGTGTCAAACAGGGAAAGGAACATTTCTGGGCTCCCTGTCGCTCAGTGGTGTACACACACAAACGCACATGCACATTGAACCGCCGGGGCCATTAATACACATCACTCCCAAGGGTGCTGACACTAATGATTCCGTAGCGCATGATTCCATTGACTCGGCTCCCGTGCGAAAGAACAGGCCGTCTTCATAATACGTCCTCCACAGGGCACCCCAGGGAGCCATAAATTTCCCAGCAGTCTTGAGGCGCTTGGCTTTGTTGCTTTTCTTGTCTCGGGGTCCCATTGTTTCGGCAGGCCTGGACAATGTCAAGATGATATTTCACACTGGGGCGGCAGTTGGGTACCAACTTGGTCCAGGCAGAAGGGGTGAGCACCATTCTGTCCAACAGGAGTGGCTCTCAGGTAATGATGTATGGGATCTGGCGACACTTATAGGAAAAGAGAGGAGGGGTTCAGGAGTGTGTCATGGTAGATTCAGGATATGAGAAACATGTTCAGACTTAACCTGAAAAAAGGAAAACCACACAAACTATGGGGGTGCTTTAGAACTCCCTGCCTATATTGTTCTAGACAACTGCCCCAAACTTGCCTGTTTTGGTTTTTCAGTTGGTGCCAGCCCTAGATATGTAATCAGTTTCCTATAGTTGCTTTAAAAAAAAAAAAAGATTTTATCTGCACTTTAAGGATGATTATTTCTGAAGATTTGCTTTTTAATTGGTTTGTGGGTTTTAGCTCTGTGTTTAGCTACACTTTCATTTGCATACCACTTGACCAAGCTCTTTATAAATCTTCTAAACAAATGGATTAAAAATAATAATAAAGCAGCTTCTCATGACTGATGCCCTCTTGGGCTCCTGTGGAAGGGTGGGGGAGAAATCAGCTCAGTTGGTGAGAGCGTGGTGCAGATAACCCCAAGGTTGCGGGTTTGAACCCTGTACAGGCCACCTGCATTGCAGAGGGTTAGACTTGATGACCCTCAGTGTCCTTCCAACTCTACAATTCTATGATTCTATAAAGTAGTAGTAGATTTCTCTGCAGTGCAATCCTGTGCATGTCTACTCAGAATTAAGTCCCCATTGAATTCAGAGAGACTTACTCATGGGTAAGTATGCAAAGACTGAAGCCTTAGTTGGCCAAAAAAAAAAAAATGTTACTGGAAATGTTTGTGTTGAAGATGCTGTTATTAATTTTTATTTTAAGCTTTTTTTTCTTTTGCAGGGCTCCTTGAGCTGTCCACAGTGGCACAGAAATGTTTCCAAGGCAATTCTCTTTCAAACCAGTCATTAGGACGGATGGTTAGTACGGTTTGGCTGTAGTCAGAGGCTACGCCTTGATAGCTCATTCAAAGCACGTTCCCCAACCGCAAAGAATTCTGGGCGCTGTAGTTTGTTAAGCGTTGCTGGGAATCGCAAATCTGCAAGGGGTAAACTAAAGTGCCCAGAATCCTTCGAAGGAAATAATGTACTTTGAATATGCCTTCAAGGTTTGGTGCGTATAGAGCACCAAAAGAACCAGGATCCAAATGCCCACCATTGCTTTGGTGGCGCTGGGCTTGCCCATCTCTTTCTCAAGGCACACACTGCAGTCATCTTGCTGAAGCGATGCGGCTCTGCATCTGGTCACTTCCTGGAATTGCTGCGAACTCTAGATGCTGTGCTGGAAGAAATGCGGAATGCCAGTGTAATCAACGAATAAATAGCCTACCTCAAAGGGTTGTTGTGATCTTATAAAGAAAAACAGTCCTCCTTTCTGGCATCATGGAACCCAAGGTATCATACCCGTGATTCCCAAACAGTCTCGCATCCAAGCACTGATCCAACCCAATCCTGCTCAGCTTTATTAGCAAATGTACTTTCAGACCATCCCCAGGATCCAACGTGGGATATAAATGGAAAAAAATGTAGTATAAGCACCAACAATTGGGAAACAGTGGCCTGCGAGCGCTCCAGTTGGAGAACAGCCTTTACCAAACGTGTCCTGGGCTTTAAAGAGACTCGAACTCAGGACGTAAGGGAGAAACATGCTAAGAGGAAGGCATGCTTGGCAAATCCACACCATGATCAACCAATGTCCCCACTGTGGAAGGAGGTGTGGATCCAGAACTGGCCTCCACAGTCACTTACGGACTCATTGTTAAAACCGTGTTTATGGAAGACAATCTTACTCGGCCATGAGTGATCGCCAGAGAAGAAGAAGATAAATGTATACAACCAACAAATAAAACAGCCTGCCTCACAGGCCTGCAGTGATGATTTAATAAAGCCCTGATGTACCACCCTGAACCACAAGGGACAAATGGATGGATGAGTTTTGCAACGATGGGAGGATGTATGAATTGGCGTTAAGGACAGCGTGTTCCGTCCCTCACAGCTGTGTTTAGATGACGCTCTTGTGTGCAGTTTCCTTCTTCACGCTGCAATATAATTCTCATCCGGATGGCGCAGGGTTTTTGCTGCGGTGTGTTCAAGACACTGCCGCAACTCAGTGTCTCCGATCAGGTGCACAAGCAACGTTTGTGCTGGGAATGGCAAACTCCCCAGAGTTCAGCATCCTAAGGGCTGCTATGAGCTGTGCTGATAAGAAAGCGATACTCACAAAAGCACCCCTTCCAGAAAGGTGAGGTTGCCTGATTGCTGTGGCATCTAGCAAGTTTCACACCATCAGCACTCTCTCATCTGCTAGTCGATGTCACCTTGAAACCACAGGTATAGTAGCTATTGTGGGTGAGGTGCAATTGCCTTGGGGGCAATCAGGAGGGAAATGGGCACCCGAAATCATGACATAATCAGGGATGCAGTCTAATTAAGGAAATTGTAGCTGGTTCATCATAAGAGTTTCACAGCACAATCTTATACACGCTTACCCAGAGGCAAGTCTTGCTGTATTCAGTGGGGCTTTCTGTATAATAAAGTAGGGCTGAGCTTCACAGGAGGGAATGCCCCATACCTGAAACCCTAGACCATGGGTAGGCAAACTAAGGCCCGGGGGCCGGATCCGGCCCAATCACCTTCTAAATCCGGCCCGTGGACGGTCCGGGAACCAGCATGTTTTTAAATGAGTAGAATGTGTCCTTTTATTTAAAATGCATCTCTGGGTTATTTGTGGGGCATAGGAATTCATTCATCCCCCCCCCCCAAAAAAATATAGACCGGTCCCCCACAAGGTCTGAGGGACAGTGGACCGGCCCCCTCCTGAAAAAGTTTGCTGACCCCTGCAGAGAGTCAGTACTAGCCTGTGAAGCCCATACTGAACTAAGATGGTCTGCGAAGAATCCAGTATGCAAGAAACTACATAAAGCCAGGAGGTGTAAGTTAGGCTTCTGTAAAGTTGCACCAGACCCAAACCTCGTTTAGCATCAGGGCTGCTGTTCCTGAGGCCCGGCTTAAGCCTAACAGAGGAAAAACCAGCTTTTAAAATAGTGCTCTCTGTCACTTTGCCAAGTCATGTGACTGAACAGGTTTAGGATCCAGCCTATGTCTCCTGCCTCTGCTCCTGCGACAGCCTTGAAATACCCCTTTGGGGGGACTTACACTGACCTCTGCTTAACCCCTTCAGCTCAGCCTGCTCAGACCTGGCTGAGTGACAGGAGCAAGCCAGGAACAAATCACAGCATAGAATCATAGAATCGTAGAGTTGGAAGGGGCCCGAGGGTCATCTAGTCCAACCCCCCTGCAATGCAGGAATCTCAGCTCAAGCATCCATAACTCTTCATTAGCAAGAACACGCTCTACACAGACTTGACTGAGTGTCCGGGCTAAGGAACACAGCAGCTCATCCCCAGTAGGTCTTGCCCCATGGATTAGTTGCCAAAACCAAAAGGCTCCATCTTCCCAGGAATTTACCCAAGCAGTCGGAGACTATGCCTACATGAAGCCAAGCTCTCCTTTGCCCTTTTCATACCCCTTCTGGTTCTAGGACACCATCAGGGAGGGGAGCTTGTCACAGCAGGAGGGGGAGACACCCGTGACTCTTCACCAGCCTGACCCATCTCGGCCTCTTGGCCTCCTTCCTCTCCTGCTTCAGTTTCTGCCTCTGATTTTGGACTGCTCTCTGCCACAGACTCTCCCTGCTCCCTCTAAGTCCTGTTACCTCTTCAGCTTCTGACACCTCCTCTTCCCAATCTTCTCCCTCTGACCACTCCCCAATCCCTGGGCTCTGAGCCTTCTCCCTCGGGGGTTCCCCAGCAGGGCCGTCTTACCCATAGGTGCTAGGGGTGCGGGGCACCCGGGCACTGGGCTCTCAGGGGCACCAGGCCAAGAGTCTGGGACCCGAGAGTTGAGTCCGGGGAAGAGCCCATCCCTCGGTAGGAGCGCCGTGGTGGGCTCTTCTGCTGTGGGCGGCTCTGCGCCTCGAGTTTGGGGGTGACCAAGCTAGTGAGATGCTGAGGCGGCCGGCTGGCTCTGCCTTCCTGTGCGCCTGGGACTGGGAAACCTGGGGGGGGGGCACCAGGCGGATCTTTGCACCCTGGCGCCGCATATGCTTAAGACAGCTCTGTTCCCCAGCTGGCTCCTCCCACCATTCCTCTGTGTCCAACCAGTCCATGACAATGAGTCAGGATGAGCAAATTCTGGTAGCGTATCTTCAGCTCAGCCAAGGTTGGGATTGGGAAGTTAGTGGTGGCTGAACCCGGCTGAGGTGGGAATCATCTGGCTGAGCTGAAGTTCCTCTGCACCCTAAGCTTCTCATCCTAGGGGATCTTGCCACATTATTGCCCCCTTAGTCAACTAATGTACTGATGACATTTCTATAAATTTACATCAGGGTAAAGACAATACTTTTTTGTTGTTGTTCAGTCATTTAGTCATGTCCGACTCTTCATGACCCCCTGGACCAGAGCACGCCAGGCACTCCTGTCTTCCACTGTCTCCCGCAGTTTGGTCAAACTCATGCTGGTAGCTTCGAGAACACTGTCCAACCATCTCATCCTCTGTCATCCCCTTCTCCTTGTGCCCTCCATCTTTACCAACATCAGGGTCTTTTCCAGGGAGTCTTCTCTTCTCATGAGGTGGCCAAAGTATTGGAGCCTCAGCTTCAGGATCTGTCCTTCCAGTGAGCACTCAGGGCTGATTTCCTTCAGAACGGATAGGTTTGATCTTCTTGCAGTCCATGGGACTCTCAAGAGTCTCCTCCAGCAATGGCTCCCCTTCATGGATCACTGCCTTGCCGTAGCGAAGGGGCATGAATAATTCAGAGAAGTTATGAGCTATGCCATGCAGGGCCACCCAAGATGGACAGGTCATAGTGGAGAGTTTTGACCAAACGTGATCCACTTGGAGCAGGAACCGGCAAGCCACTCCAGTATCCCTGCCAAGAAAACCCCATGGACAAAGACAACAGGCAATACTTAGAAACTAATAAATATTCAGAAGGTTAGGGTGGAAGCCAGTGTGGGGTCATGGTTAGAGTGTCAAACTAGGACCTGGGAGACTAGGGTTCAAATCCCCACTTGGCCCTGATGTTCACTGGGTGACCTTGGGCCAGTCATTGCCTCTCAGCCTAACCTATCTCACAGGGTTGTTGTGGGGGATTAAATGAGGTGGGAGGAGAACCCCATGTACCACCTTGATCTCCTGGGGTGGGGAAGTGGGCTATAAATGCAATTGATAGATAAATAAGAATCATTTGTGCTCACTCAGGTCTTAATTCCTGGAGGGGACGGCACAGGACTGAGAGCCTGCTCAGGGTGTACAAATGAGCAATTAAACCACTAATAGATTCCGCAGTCCCTGTCTGTGGTTCCCTGATTTGGATGCACATTCATATTTCCCTGGATGAGAAGCATTTAATTGGGGAGAGTTTCAGCACTGCAGTTTATAGACCCAGGAGTGCTACGAAGCCTAAAGATGGGCTTTAATGTTTGGCATGAATCGCGAAAGTATATATGCCAGTAACCTTACCTCAAAGTGCAGGCCAGAGTTAGAGGCTGCCTTAAGGCTGATTGCACTTC